TAGAGAGAGAGAAAGACACACACAGAGAGAGAGACAGAGAGACAGTGACAGTGACAGAGAGATAGAGACACACAGAGAGAGACAGAGTCAGAGAGACAGAGACAGAGAGAGACAAAGAGAGAGACACAGAGACAGAGAAAGAGAGACACACAGAGACAGAGAGAGAGTCAGAGAGAGAGTGAGAGAGAGAGAGAGAGAGAGTGAGAGAGAGAGAGAGACAGAGAGAGACAGAGAGAGAGAGAGAGAGCTCCCTAGGCCTCCTCCCAACCCAGAGAGCAACACGAGCGAGTTGACCCTCCTTTTGACCCTTCTTGTTCTGGCTGACACCCGCGGTGAAACCAAGTTCATCCCAATGTAACGTCTGGCACTCGAGGGTCTAGACAGATGTAAACACCGCCAGGACTTCTAGGACGAGCTTCTTCAGGGAGCTCCAGAGAGGACGCCATTGTTTATTACCTGTCTTGGCAGAAACGCTCCGCAGTTCACCTCAAAGAACCCGCCGTACAGCTGAGAAGCAAATATTTGCTCAACCTTCTGCCTAGGAGCCCTCGGAGTTTCTAAAAGCTGGGGGAGATTTAGATCCGCTTGAAACGCGCCTTCCATTTCAGCGGAGGTGCGTAAAACCAAGAAAAGTACAAACAGGGCAGCCCCCTTGGTGCTGTCACAGGGGACGGTCCCCTAGAAAATCTCCCCCCCTCCGCGGGGGGAGGAAGGAACACCAATACTTGAAGGGATGGGGAGAGGGTAGAAAAATCAACCACCCACAATTCCTTTCAACAAGGCAGCCAGAAAAATACGATTTCTACACTTTGTCCACTAAGATTTCCTCTTGCGAATGTGCTTCCGAATGGCAAGTATGAATAGCCCAAAGGTGCTTTTTCAGGAGGCAACTGGACATTCTTGTTTTTTCTTTGAAAAAACACACACAAGTCCAGCTGCCTCCTGAAAAAAATCACCTTTGGGACAACCATGACCTGGATCAGGGGTGGGTTTCAGCAGGTTCTGACCAGTTCTGGAGAACCGGTAGCGGAAATTTTGAGTCGTTCGGAGAACCGGTAAATACCACCTCTGACTGGCCCTGACCCCATCTATTCTCTTCCTCCCGAATCCCAGCTGATCGGGAGGAAATGGGGATTTTACAGTATCCTTCCCCTGGAGTGGGATGGGAATGGAGATTTTACAATATCCTTCCCACGCCACCAAGCCACGCCCACTAAGCCATGCCACACCCACCATGCCACACCCACAGAACCGGTAGTAAAAAAATTTGAGACCCATCACTGACCTGGATGACTGAAAATCTCTACAGACAAGTATGAGTGTCTTTGTGTATGGGTGTGTGTATCCACCGTTACAACACTGAGGAGCTAAACAAAACTGACTAGATAACATAAGATTTCAAATAAGAAGCTTCTAAGGATATTTTTTAAAAAAATATTTGTGGAAGGGGGAGATAATTAATCAGAGGTCATTGAGACGCTAACCAGGATCCACTTACAACGCGGCCCTATACCTGTTGACTGAGAAACAAACCTTACTAAATTCTAATTCGTGGAATGAAGGAAAAGGAGGACCGAGAAACGCGAAGAGCACCTAATACCTCCATTTCTTCTTTTGAGCAGTTTTCTAAAAAGAAAAGCCTGGGGTGGGGGGTGGATAACGCGGTCTTCTGAATTCTGATCTGGGATGAAACGGTGCCTATAAACGCGCGTCTCTATCCGCAAATGTTCAGAAGATGCGGTCAGGGAAAGCAGTAAACTGGGATTAGAAAAGAAAAAGGAAAACAGAAACTCCTGGCCGGTTCAAAGCCTTCCGGAAAACAGAAGGGGGCGCCAAAGGCCAGCAAAAAAAGCGCCCGCCGATATCCTCTTTCCTATTTTGATTTAAGAGGTTGCCCAAGCTGCAGTCTGGGAGCGAAACTCGCCCAGGTGATCTCAGGCACCGGAACGGCAGAGGCTTCCTATGTTATTCCGTTCTAACGCCTTTACTTCGATCGTTTGTGTCGGGACGGGATGCGGGTTAATAGTTGTTTCTTGCAGGAATCTCCCCCCCACTCTGGTTTCGCGGGTGAGCCTGTCACGAGGCCTCGTGAGGACTCAGAAGGAGTTTAAAAAAAATAGCAACAACCAACAACCCCGTTTCGCCGAATTGCCACGGATTCTAACCATCAGCCTCGACTTCTCGACTTCGAGAAAATGAGACAGCGGGGAGGGGGGGGGGGCAGCCGGACAGGGTTCAAATTTTCGACCTGTCCTGTCAGTTTAGGTTGCTTTCTTAATCCAGGCTCTGAAGAGGACGACTTTGTCCACTGGCTGGTTAATTCTCCATAGCTGGGTGCATGTATTTTCCTGTATGTATTCTGTGCTGGGGTGTATTAATCGTTTATCTTAGAGGAAGGTTAGGAAAGCAGGAGGATAGGAACGCAATTTTAATACAATCAACGATTCACAATACAGTATTAGGGGAGCCCGTTTATGCAATGGCGTTCTCTGTTTGCAGCTTGTTGCCCTTTCCCCAGCCCTTCCGGTTTCAAGCGGAGCCTGAATATAGCGGCTGCTATTGCAACGAAGTTAACACTGGGAAGAACTCAGGACGCCCCTTAATTAAAGGAGGAATTGGATTTTAGGCCCATTCGCTCTTTGGGAACCTTAAAGGTGCAGCCGAAACCTTTTCCTTGGGGTGGGGGGTGGGAGAGGGAATCGGCAGGCTTACTTACGGTATGCAGGAATGCGTCTGTTCTTATTAGTCTGCGGAAGTATTAAGATTGGGAGGAATTGCCTAAGTCAGCTAATTTTTTTTTTTATTTTTTAAAAAATTGGTTTGGAGAGGAACGAATTCTTCAAAAGAATTCAGGGGCTTTTGGCGTTCTTTTACAGTTAAATGAAGTTCGGCTCAGAACTCAAGCGCCACCTTTCCTCCAAAATCAGTTCCATGCCCAAATTCACCGGGTTTAGCATCCCACCTGAGCCACGCACCCCGAATTTTTTTTACCCACTCCCTAGAAAGGAAAGGAAAGAAGGCCGAAGTGCGCATTGGCGTCCGAAGCAGCGGCATTGGTACCCTATTAGTTTTAAACCACACGCTGATCAACTCTCTCCAGTCGAAATCCTTCTGGTGGATGGACAAATGCTCGCTTTAAGCCCGGGATTTGCCAGATACACCCGTTCTGAAATCAGCAGCGGGACTTAAATCTCTTGGGAAGTAAAACGCAGGGGAAAGGGGTTGGGGGTGTAGAAGGGTCGCGCGGCCAATCCGGGGCGCTCAGCAGCCAGGAGAAGGTAGGAAACAGGCCTCCCTGGGTTGGCACGGCTGGCCATGTCAGTGTTGGCTCTCTCAGAGACGCGCCCGGGATATTAATGACAAGAATATTAGTGGCGCTTAAGCGCACGTCCTGGGCGTCTTGAGAGTAATCAAAGTTCTCGCGTTTCCGATCGGAAGGCCGGCGGAGAGCATCTCCATCTCTCTCTCTCTCCCTCTCCCCTTTCTCTCTCTCTCTCTCTTTCTCTTTCCTCCTTCTTCCCTCCCTCCCTCATTCTTCGTCCCCTTTCGGCGCTGGTTCTTCGGCGGAATTTGAGAGAGGGGGAGAGAGAGCACGTGCGAACCGGGAAAGAGAAACAGATGAGCAAACTCTGGTTCAGGTAACTTGCCGTTTGGCTGGGGGTGGGGGGTGGGGGAGAGGGGGAAGGAGGGCGGGAGGCCCTGAAAGAGAGGAGGAGATCCCTAGGTGAGTCACATTCTTTGCCTGTACTGGGAACCGTTGAGACTTGGCAATCGAGGCCTTTACCAAAGACAAGGAATTGATATTTTAAGCAAGTAAATCCCGTTTCGATTGAAAAGGGAGGAGAGATTGAAGAGAGATCTAGGCAGGGGATAAAGGAGGGAATGAATGAAAGCTTCCCTCTTTTGCTACAGCTACATTCAAACAAGCCCACCCGCTTCTCCGCTGATTTAAATCGTGTTTTGAAGGCTCGTTGCCCCCTCCCCTTCCTTCAGTGAAAGGATGTTGTGCCCAAGGCGAAGGAAACACTTTAGGCAGACTTCCGTCGTTAAAGGGGTGGGTAGACCCGTCCTCTGTCAGAAAAACTTTGGAAGGGGAGGAAAAAAAAGGGCCTGTGGGCGCGCTAAGGAAATGTAGGGAACCCGCTGAGATGACGCTTAATGGAGCCATTCCCCGGCTGGGGGTTGCGCCTGATGCGGCCGGTCTGATAGGTAAGCATTTGCCGAGAACGCCTGGAAGGCTGAAGAAGGGGCGGTTTCGTGGCCGGCGGCCAGGGCGAGTTTCTTCCAGGAAAACCCGTTTTTGTTTTTTTAAGGACACCGGGGAAGAGGGTCAAAAGCTAGCAGGGAGATGGGTGGGGGTGAAACAATCTCCGCCTCCCTCCTCCCTTGGGCAGGTTTTCTTCTCCCGGGCTGTCCCCCAAACCCCTTTTCTCAGCAATCACACAATCTGTTTCCGCCGTTTATCCAGCGTTGCTGTTGGAGGAAGGAAAAAAAAAAACAACGAAAAAGAAACGGCGCCCCTTAGGAACTAAAAAAAGCGGGGCACATACTCACGCGTTCACACACACACACACACACACACAAGCTCACGGTCTCCTCTCTCTCTCTCTCTCTCTCGTGCACAAAAGCAAACGGGGTGGGGGAGAAAAGGGGGGCTGGAATCAGGGCATAATGATTCACCTAAATGAAGGGGGAAATGTTGCTCAGTTCGTTTATTAATCAGGCTGCCAATTTCACCCCAGAGGCCAAATCTCAGCAACCCGTGCAGGATCTGATCGAGCGCCGGACGAGGACTCCTCTCTGCCTCCTCCTCCTCCTCCTCCGCCTCCTCCTCTTCTTCCTCCTCCTCCTCTCCAGTCCTGGTCTTTCCGCCTCCCTTGTTGGATCTATTTGTCTGCTCTGAAGCCGCCTTCATTATTCGCTGACAGGATCTTGTATTTATTTGCTTATAAACCTGTTACAATAAATGATTATTCGACCAGCGTCATTCGTACCTTAATGACGAGCCCTCCTTTTCTGTGATGAATGACATTTCGGGGCTAGGAAGGATGTATAGGTCATTTTGACCAGTCATTCCCTTCGCGTTTACATCTCGCTCCCCTTTCTCTTCTTCTTCTTCTTCGTTTTGTGCCTCCTCCTTAAATATATATAGAGAGATAGAGAGAGATCTTTTCCTGACCCGAAAGCGAATCGGCCCTTGTTGCCGTGAGCTGATTATTAGAAGGACCAATCATATATTTATACACATCACACCTACAACCACGGACACTCAGGCACGCGCGCCTGCATACATTCTCACGAACAATTTTTTTCCAGCGTGGGGGGAGCTGAGATGATGGAAAGAATAAGAAAAGAGATGATTTTGATGGAAAGGGGGCTGCACAGCCCCACGGCTGGCAAAAGGCTGGCGAATCTGACCGAGGCGGCTGGGAACGCGGTCCTGGAGGCCCTGGAAAACTCGCCCCACGGCGGCCGCCTCAGCCCGAGACTAACTTCCGCTTCTCTGCACAGCTCCATCGGGGACCTCCCCGCCGCCAAAGGGAAATTCGAGATCGACGCTTTATTCAGCCTTCAGCACCAGAACAGCGAAAGCGCCGTAGCGGCAGAACTGCCTCCCGCCGAAAGCCGGAAGAAAATTAGCCATTACTCAGAAGTGGCTGGAGAGGTAGACATGAACAGCGACGTGGAGGTAGGCTGCTCCGCGCTTCGCTCGCCGACCAGCCTGGCCTCTTCCCTGAAGGAAAGCAATAACAAAGGTAACTCTCCTCTCTCGCGCTCCCCATCCCACCCCCGAAGCCGGATTTTAGCGGGGCAAGGATTGAGGCGGCGGGGGAGGGGGCGCGGGGGAATCTAAGCCCAGCAGGATCGAACCCTTATCCTATTTTCTTCTTTTACTTATCCCCTTTCCCCAGTTAGGGAAGACATCCCGTAAAATACGAGGGTATTAATTTGGAGATCAACCGAAGGTGGTAGGTACACACCGCTAATCTCCCAGCACTCTTAAGGAATCTGAAGCAAAAGATTAGAAGAGTTGTGCGGCCGCACACAACTGCCCGCACTCAGCGACTCTCGAGTGGCATTTATACTTTGGATTCCCTGTGTCAAAGTGTGCACGGCAGGAGTGAAAAATGTATGTGTGTATTTATTACACAGCATATCCCCACATCTGAGGATCTTTCGGGAAATCGGCTACGGGATTTTACAGGGCTGATCTAAAAACCCGAGTGTCACTTATTTGCCGGCTATGTTTAATAATCTTCCCCCCATTTCACAAGTGTAAACAAGTGCTTTTTGCTGAATTTTGATGAAGTGTATTTAGAAAGGAGTGTCTATACTGATCAACTCCGACATTGCAATTAGATCCTGTTGGTATAATTGATGTAGCTCAGTTTATTCAGAGCGCAGTTAGCGGGGTCCTTTAAGTAAATTATCTCCACATATGCCTGATTTTCTATTCTGGGCTTCCATTGGAAACGCAGAATTTTTTTTCAAAAAAATAAAAAGTTTACCCTCTTCTATACTTACTTTTTGCCTTCTCCCTCCCTCCTGTGCGACCTACTAAGCCCTGTTAACTTTGACTAGAAACAATGCATCATAATGCCACAAACTCGTCCAATAACTTATTTTTAAAGCAGGGAAGAACACGTTCTGTCGGACCCAAGTTGCACGATTAGAACTATCAGAGGCTGTGGGACTGTGGGATCTTTTAGGAAACACATTTTAACAGGGCATTCGTTTGCAATCCGAATTGGGCAAGCCTTTCCATTTATCTTCCTTTGGTATATCTCTGAAAAAAGTGAACGAAAAAGTAAGGGGGGGGGGAAAATCCCGAGCGATGGGTCCCAGAAAAGATTAGCTGTAGACGCCTCTAACTTTTCCCATCGAACGTATATTTTAGGCAGCCTGGAATCTTTTTATCAATAGATTATTTTTCTTTTTAAAGGGTGCTTAATTTTCTCGATGACTTCTCATTTAACCGCAAACAAGAGATAAAAGGAGAAACTTTCTATTGATTCTATTCAGGCCGGCAATTTGTTTCCCCGACAGTCAGCATTAATTATGGGAGGGAGTAGTGAATTGCAGGGGCTGAAATCCGCCTGGCAGCGCGTCTCCGGGACAATAAAGCAACGTCTTTCTTTTGTTACTTTTTGTCTGGAAGGCTATTCGGAGAGCAGTTCGACTCCCAGCACCACCAGCTCGTCCTCAGGATCCACACTGAGCAACTTACACAGCGGAAGCAGCCTGAGTACTTCCAGCTCCGGGGCCGACCAAGTGAGGAGGTACCGCACCGCTTTCACCCGGGAGCAAATCGCCCGATTGGAAAAGGAATTCTACCGCGAGAACTATGTTTCCCGGCCTAGACGGTGTGAGCTGGCCGCGGCGCTCAACCTCCCCGAGACTACCATAAAGGTATATTTGCCAAGGAAGAGGGACTCGCGAGAGCCAGGCCGGGTCGGGCAGGGAGGGTGGCTGGCGGCTCAGGACCCGATTTGAGGGTTTGGGTTGCCACTTCCGTGTGTGTAGCTCCCCAGGCTGTAATCCTGTTTCAGCGGGGCTTGGCCGAGACTGGAAAAATGTCCTCTCCAGAGCTGGCTTCCTCAGAAAGGAGGAAGGAATTCTGATCAATGTAAAAAAGGAATCAGTTAAATAAAAGGAAAGCCCATTGCTTTGCTATTTTAAGAACCTCCTAGATTTAAGAATCTTCCATGGGATAGATTTTCGTATTTTATTTTGTTCACCTTACGTTATTGCTTTTCATATTTGTAGCTACATACACACACAAAAAAGAAAGAAAAAGAAGAGATAAAAGCAAAAACGGAGTGAATGAAATATCAATAATAAAAATAAAAGGAGCGGGAACGGTATCGGGTAATTAGCCAAGTCATTCTAAGAACTGAATATACACATTTTGGGTTTTTTCCACCCAGTTGGTGTATTTTTTATTATATTTCCCTATAGGGGTTTTCTCTTCCCTTTAAGAGAAAGAGGATGCTAAGCCATGAGGCCTCTTGTAACTTTCTCCCCCCCCCAAAAAATGTAGATTGGCACTGCAAATAAAAACAGATTAAAAAAAGAGAGAGCAGCATTAAATAGTCTTGTATTAAATGTGTCTTTGTGCTTTTAAACTTGAAGAACGGGAATCGTGCCTTCAGCCTAACTCTTCAGGAAGGCATTATGTGAATCATTTCCTAAATAATAATTGCAAAAGGGACTGAGATAAAAGGACAGTGAAAATATATATTCCATTTTCTTATAAAGCATTCCGCAGCTCGAATCCCTTTTTAAAAATTATTATTATTATTATTATTATTATTATTATTATTATTATTATTATTATTATTATTATTATTTTACAATTCTAGCGGAAACTTTATCTTATAGCAGTTTTCACCTTCTGAAAAATTGGCACCGGGTGATCATTTCAGTTCTGTATATGCTTACCTGTCATGGACAGAAACGAAGCTGAATTAATCATAATTGATTGAATTATAGGGCCAGTTCAGAATAAAACAAAAGTAGTATTTCAGATAACTTTTAAGGTGGATTCTTGAGAATGTATGTATACTTTTTTTTAAAAAAAAAAACCAAAACATGGCTGCTCTTTTGCCAAGCTCTGCTGGCAGTGATTGTTCAAATAAAATACCGTATAAAAAGCTTTTTTTTTGCAGAGAGACATTTATGTATTTCTAACCTGAATTAGACTCAGAGAAGCCAAAATCTCATAGGAGGATTTCGAGTTTATTTTATCCAGGATTAAAATGCAGGAAGCTTCTTTTCGATTTTGGTAACCGTTAGCTGAGGAAAACTGCCTCCAACGAAGCTAATTTAAAATAGAAGCGGAATTCCGCCTCAGCTAGAACGGATGCGAATTGGTGGCAGAGTTTCTCTTGGCCAACTAGGAAGCGGCGTAGTGGTTAAGACAGTGACCTTTTTAGGAGACTGTGAGTTCCAGTCCCGCTTTAAGACATGAAAGCCGGCTGGGTGAACCTTGGGCCAGTCACTCTTCTCTCAGGCCAGCCCACCTCACAGGGTTGTTGTCGTGGGGAAAATAGGAAGAGGAGGAGGAGGAGGAAAAGACTATTTTGTACGTTCAGGCCTTGAGTTGCTTATGAACTAATAACGGTGGGATAAAAATCGAATAAACGTGAAAGATAAAAAAAAAAAAAGTGAGGACGGGAGGGAGCTATGCACGCAGCTCTCGCCTCTCCCGCATTTTCTGACTCACTCGGCGACTCCCCTTCCTCCCCCTGCCCAGGTGTGGTTCCAGAACCGGCGAATGAAGGACAAGCGGCAGAGACTGGCCATGTCCTGGCCCCACCCGGCGGACCCCAGCTTCTACACCTACATGATGACCCACGCGGCAGCCACGGGTAGCCTGCCTTACCCTTTCCATTCCCACGTGCCCCTCCACTACTACCCGCACGTCGGAGTGACGGCGGCGGCAGCGGCGGCGGCGGCAGCCTCCGGAGCAGCCGCTTCGCCCTTCGCCACCTCCATCCGCCCGCTGGACACTTTCCGAGCCCTCTCGCACCCTTATTCCCGCCCGGAGCTGCTGTGCAGCTTCAGACACCCGGGCCTCTACCAGTCGCCGGCCGCCGCCGCCGCCGCGGGGCTCAACAGCAGCGCGGCGGCTTCCGCGGCTGCTGCGGCTGCGGCTGCTGCTGCGGCTGCGGCCGCCTCTTCGGCTCCTCCCACCGGCTCCGCCCCTTGCTCCTGTCTCAGTTGCCACAGCAGCCAATCGGCGGCGGCGGCGGCGGCGGCTCTGGGATCGCGCTCCTCGAGCTCGGATTTCCCCTGCAGCGCAGCCGGAGCAGCGGCGGCCGCTTCGCAGCGCTCGGAGAGCAGCTTCCTGCCTTACTCGGCGGCCGTGCTCAGCAAAACCGCCGTCCCTTCCCCGGACCAGCGGGAGGAAGCTCCCTTGACCAGATAACCAGCCCCGGCGGCCTCCGAGGGCGCTGATGGGCCCGGGGCGGCCCGGGGCTGGAGCGAACCGTTTTGGGTCCAAGGTGGGAAAGGGAAGGAAGCCCAGAGCCGAAGCTCTAAAAACAGAAGGGTTTTTTTTCCCCCCCACCTAGTGCTGTTGTTAAATGATTCTGGCTTTATGAAGGCTCCGGTTTAATACGGAATCCCCCCCCCAAAAAGGAGAAGGAGCTGCTGTTGCTGCTGCTGTTGCAAAAGTTGTAATGGATGGATTTGGGGCCCCGGTAGACCAAAAACTATAAGCCCTCCCTCTTTCTCAGTGGAAGGAAGGACTGTGTGTGTGTAGAGAAAAAAAAAAAAGGAGAGAAAAGAAAAAAGCGCGATTCCTTCCAGACATTTACGGTACTTTCTTTTTAATCTTCGGGGGAGCCTTTGTCTCTGCTCCCCCTGCTGATGGCATTGGGAACTGTTTGGCCTTTTTTTCCCCCGACGTTAAGCGGCCTTTTGTTTTTTTTTGTTTGGTTCACCTTATTGTTTAATATTTATACCCTGTTTCCTTCCTCTTTTTTCCCCCTCTCTCTCTCTCTCTTTTGTCCTGAAGCAAAATACCAGCAGTATCAATTTTATAGGAATTTGGTTGAGGGTGTGGGAAGCTAACGAACAAAACACCGAAGGAAAACCGGCTGCCGAAATAGAGGCCTTGCGGTTCAAGAGGGGCTGTTTTAAGGAAGAGGAAAATCCAATGTTTTAACTGTCCTTTCTGATTTCCCTTCCCCCCCCCTTTGAAGATGGCTGTTGTAGGCCTCCAAAAAACGCTTCCCCTAAAATAAAGCAAACGGGGCAGGGAGGACCTTTAATGGATTGGTTAAAAGAAAGGCAGAGAGAGACAAACAGAAGAGTAGTTTAGAAAAAAAAAACAGAAAACACATGGTGTGTTTGCCTCCAAGTCTTCTACTCTGCATTATCTGGAAAATACTTGAAACTTTCTTGGCATGTATCCTATCCTAAAACGCATCTTCTACATAACTTTTTTTTAAAGAAAAAGGTTAAATTCTTCCCCTGTCCCCTCTCCCCCCAAGGAGAAAAAATAATATGCTTTATTTAAACCCAGGCACCCGCCCTCTGGCTAACAGAGAGCCCCCAATCCCCACAACTTTCTGTGAACTTGAGAGACGCATCAAAAACCACCGGTGTTACTGCGGTGTCAATTTTGATGCTAATAATGTGCAGATTATGACGAAAATTGCCAATCATGTTCTCTGATGGACCCTCCTTTGAATGCAGAGTGGTGGGGGGAGTTTCCCGCATGGAGACCTGCTGTCAAGTACTAACAACCCGCTAAGGGAAGTCATTAGAAGAGACGGATAAGAGGCTTGGTACATAAAACATTGTTCCTGGTGCAAAAGGCGGTAGGTTATTTAACGTTAGATCTGTTACCTTGGAAGTGATTTTTTTTTTTTTTTTTTTTTTGCACAAGAAAGCTATGGTTCTGATCATCTCAATTGCCAATTTTCATTTTGGGAACTTGGACGCCCTGGGTAGACTTTTCAGTTGATATTCCACCAATGTGAAAGAGCCTCATTAAATCAAACTTGGATATTTCCATAATGCTCCTGGCAGAGTCACTTTACTCTTCTACATAATGAGATTTTTTTCCTGAAGAGTTGAAGCTCGCACATAACTAGCTATTGCTTATTTAGGCCCCATGTGTAAGACGTGAGCACAGGCGCGCAGCCCATTCATTTCCCTTAATTTATATTAAGACACTGGTTGGGGTTTTTTTCTTTTTCTTTTCCCAGCCCCACATTTTGATAATGGACATTCAGGAAATTATTTTCCAGTCTGTACTGTTTTGTTCAGTGAACAAAAACTGTATTTTATTTTTATTATTTTTATTAGTGGGGGGGGGGAATCAAAATATAGCAAGAGATTGCTGGTGTGAAGATAGGAGAGGAAGGATTAAAAACAACAGGGGTGGCAAGAAAAGAAGAGTAGATTATGTTAACAATAACATGAGATATATAGAGAACATTGAATTAAGGACTTAATCCTCAAATAGTAAATATTTTTTTTAAATGAAACAAGGATGAGACTCCTTATGCATCAAAAGAAAAATACCAGCTATTGTCCACTGACTTTATATTTAACTTTTAAATTAATATATAATTTAATGCTAACTAATTTAAAAATGTGGCATTCTTTTATCAACATTTACTTTTTTTCCCAATTCTCTAAATAGTTTGGTAATGATGGCCCTTACTGGATATAGAGAGAACAATTTTGGCAATAATGTTTACATTTTCCAAAATAGAAATAGATAAATTAAATCTATATATCTTGGAAGTGGTTGATAGGTTTGCTGGTAAATAAGATTAAAAAAAGAAACAAAATAATTTTATGTTAGGTCCAATGGATCTAGTTATAATAAAAAAATTGTGAATAAGTCCTGTGCTTCAGATATTCACTGGCTGTATGAATTCACTGTAAAATATTTTACAAATGTGCAATAACAACAAAGCTTTGTATATTATGTTATTTATTGTGTTTGGTCATGT